AGAACTAAGGATGGATATATGAACAAATGAATAAGCGCTAAGGATGAATAGATGAACAAATGAATAAGCACTAAGGATGAATATATGAACAAATGAATAAGCACTAAGGATGAATATATGAATAAATGAATAAGCACTAAGGATGAATATATGAACAAATGAATAAGCACTAAGGATGAATATATGAACAAATGAATAAGTACTAAGGATGAATATATGAACAAATGAATAAGCACTAAGGATGAATATATGAACAAATGAATAAGCACTAAGGATGGATATATGAACAAATGAATAAGCACTAAGGAAGAATAGATGAACAAATGAATAAGCACTAAGGATGGATATATGAACAAATGAATAAGCACTAAGGATGAATAGATGAACAAATGAATAAACACTAAGGATGAATATATGAACAAATGAATAAGCACTAAGGATGAATAGATGAATATGTGCACTAAATGATTAAAAGAGAAAAAAATTAAGAATAAATGAATAAATGAATAAATGAATTAAGGACAAGTAAATGAATAACTGAATAAATGAATAGATGAATAAGTGCACTGTGAGGCCCAAGTGTATTGCATGTTACAACAGACCTTAAAGCACTTTGTGCGATTCAGTGAGCCATGCTTGGTTGAGGTATTAGTTTCATCAGTGCATATGGACAGCTGAGACGGATGCCATGTACACACATGGTGCGTCTAGACAGCCATAGGGTTGTAGGGTGACACAACGTAATCCACAGAGTTGTCCCTTCACCTCTTCATAACTTTAGGTGCATTAGGTCCGGTCCAGAGTTGTGTGGTGCAGGTGCAAGGAGCCGCAGAATCGATCTGCACCAGCGCAGTACATCACAGCAAGCGCACGCTTCTCATCGAAGCGTACACTAACACGCACACGTGGTTGTTAGCAACTAACACACGCACACGTGGTTGTTTGCAGCTAACACACGCACACGTGGTTGTTAGCAACTAACACACGCACACGTAGTTGTCTGCAACTAACACACGCACACGTGGCTGTTTGCAACTAACACACGCACACGTGGTTGTTAGCAACTAACACACGCACACGTGGTTGTTTGCAAACGTCACTACGTGCAAACACGTGGGACTTGCTGCTGTCTCTGGCTGTGTGCAGTGGGTAGTGGCTAGGCTGAGAGACACAGTGTTGGTCGGTGGGCCGACGCTCCCATCAGTTGTATGGGACGTAAACGCAGCACTACACGTTCGTATGTACTGCTATGTATGCCGCTACAGATGGTTTGCGAACAGGTCTAAGCTCAAAAGACCACCACGCGTATACGCTTCACAGGTGTGGATTAACACGGTACACAGGCATTCTATCCTTTGGTAAGTACGTTTCAGTTGAATGTTTGCTGTCTCTGACTTCGGACGCGAAGTGAACCGATTAGGGTTAGGGTTTAGGGTCAGAGATAGGGTTACCACTTTCTGCCTGTGGTGTCCATGGTTGTCTGTGTGCTGCAGCAGCACCCATAGTTGTCATCGGTGTTGTTGTGCGTGCGTCATGACATTCAATGTCATAGCAACCAGTCGCAGTCTACAGAGGTTGGGGTTTAAGTGCGGTCATGTGAGGGCCAACACAGAGCAGAGGTTTGTGGGGCAGGTATTGGGATGAGATGCGCTTGTGGGCGTGGTATGGGCCTGACTTATAGGCTGAGAGGTGATCTCTGAGATCATTATCCCGTTCTAAATACTACACGTTGACATCGCATGGCGTTGGAGACTTTCGAGGCGAATGCTATTGCTTAATGACAATGGAATGGACATTTCATGCACGTTATGTACATAGCTTTATGTTGTTCTCCACTGTACATAGAACAATCTCACCGTATTGCGTCGTACTTCAGTATACACAAACCAATTGGTGTTGTGTCCTGCGGCACTATTTGGGGATACCAGAACCCAATTCGCGAACGCAAAAAGTCGCCCAGCTGTCTCCAATGTATAGCGGTGCGCCCTATGCCAGTCGGCTTTAATTTAATTTATTTCTAGCGCATACTCTCAAACCACCTAAATATGAAGTCGTATGGGGCAGTGGACATACACTGAGACATACTATAACGGTAAAGAGATCGCAGAGACGCTACTTTTACAGGCTTCTAAAACATGGGTGTTTGGTGGTTCGGTCTCTTGCTTTGTAATAGTACTATAACATGATAATGATATGTACTGCACATGACGCCTATGCCGTTGGAATGAAGACAAGGATTCATACAGCTTTGCTGACGAGCCACTCGGCACGTGAGGTAGTATTATATCATTAGCGTATAGTTCTGCTTGCCTGTGAGGTGGTGTTATATTAGCATCTGATGCTGCTTGCCTGAGACAGAGTCCATACTCAGTCCATCTGTTCCATTCTCCAGAGGGCAGTATCGAGCCCACACTTGGAGTGTGTATATGTATGTATGTATGTATGTATGTATGTATGTATGTATGTATGTATATATATATATATATATATATATATATATATAAGTATGCATGCATGTATGTAAGTATGTATATGTGAGTGAGTGAGTGGGAGAGAGAGAGAGAGTTCCAGTGTAGGTCAAGTGCTCCCATTCAAGCACAGCAGTCTCTGGTCATCGCGCTGTGCATTTAGAGTGACCCCATGTCCAATCCAAGGGCAAGATGAAGCAACCGAGCGTCTACTTCTACACCGGCCTGTGCCTGCATGGCTGTGAGCGTAGAGGTGTCAGATGACCATTTTGATGAAACGTAGCGACAGACAATGGGTCGAGTACTACGCACGCATATTGTACGCACGGGTATTGGTGTATATTGGTTAGAAGGATAGTGTGTGTCCCTCAGAGAGATGTACACTGCTGCATACACGTGTGGCAGGAGTATATATGTGTATAGGCTTGAATATATATCTATATATATGAGAGTAAGAACATTGAGATATAATAGTCTATATATGAGAGCAAGAACATATATATAATAGTATATATGAGAGTAACAACATAGAGATATAATAGTATATACGAGAGTAACATCATAGAGATATAATAGTATATATGAGAGTAACAACATAGAGATATAATAGTATATACGATAGTAACAACATGGAGATATAATAGTATATGTGAGAGTAACAATATAGAGATATAATAGTATATACGATAGTAACAACATAGAGATATAATAGTATATACGATAGTAACAACATAGAGATATAATAGTATATATGATAGTAACAACATAGATATATAATAGTATATATGAGAGTAACAACATAGAGATACAATAGTATATACGATAGTAACAACATAGAGATATAATAGTATATACAATAGTAACAACATGGAGATATAGTTGTATATATGAGAGTAACAACATAGATATATCGTAGTATATATAAGAGCAAGACCACTAGGATATAATGGTATAAATGAGACTCACAACATACATATACACCTTACACTAATTATGCGCGTGCCTTATACACCCATTTCTCACGCACCTGTTAACTCTGCATATAGGCCTTTCAACGGTATGATTTGACTGGTGATGCACTCACTGTCCTCCTGCTCGGCTATTGGGTGCAGGTTTTCGGGCCGAGTCATGTCAACTCCCACAACAACCAACTTCACTGATAATTAAAGGGACAAAGGGTATCAGAAGGTAGTGGCACACTATACTATACTTATATATACTATATACCTACCCAGAAAGCATACACAAGCTAGCTTGTGTCCTACAAGGAAAGGGCGTACAAGCATTCAGCGAGGCCACAGCCGAACACAGACTTCTCCAAAAAACTTGTCAGGAAGACGTAACACACATGCAGAAGCGACACAATGCCTATGTGGGTCTCGTTATGGTTTCTTCTGAATGCGTAAACATCATTTACCCGTAGTCGTTGCTATGGGTGTGCATGTATGCCTACTGTATAGATAGAAACGCTTTGATTCACAAACAGATCATGTTATAGATATAGACCACATAGGATATATAACTCACAGGTCATCCGTGTGCACAAGGTGTTGTTGCTTGTGATGAGCGGCACTTGGGATTGATAGATGCTAACCTACATAAGTAATAATTATACTTTACCCACTACACCAGTACAAGTAAAGTATAATTAAAGTAAACGTTTAGAGATGTTCGGTATCATCGTGCAAAGACCAGTACTCGGGTGCACCAAGAGATTGTCACTGAAATGAAATAGTGGCACGAGTAGTTCGGCTCTTGCTATTAAGGCGTTAAGCGCTCTTTGGCAACCTTAATCCTGGAGGGATAGACGAACCTAAGATTAAAATCGCAACTGTCATGCACTATAGACATACAGTATATATATATATTAGCAAATAATCAGCACGACTACATTCATCCTAGACCACACAATAAAAATAGCACTGCACAGATTTAACTTCCATCCTCACCAATCCACCAACCAATCACAAGCAACCTATTCCGAGACTCAGCAGTGCACACGCCACATACTATTCGCCTGTGAGAGACCGGGATCACTGAAACACAGGGGTGTTATTCGCTCAACCTCCCCACTGTATCTAAGGGGTGGGCAAAAACACAGCGCCTATCAATAACCAGCCCGGGTGCACTCTGCGTGTATGTGACACACACGCACAATGTACGTAGTAGACCACACACTGCCATGTGCATGGCCCTGCGTGATGGTATCGGGTCCACATACGTGTACGTATAATATGACAGCATGCAACAGGTGCATGTACATATTAACACATAGCTAATGGGGTATAGTATAGCCATCCCACCCACACACATAGCCAATGGGATATAGTACAGGCATCCCACCCACAAACATAGCCAATAGGGTATAATACAGCCATCCCACCCACACACATAGCCAATGGGGTATAGTACAGCCATCCCACCCACCCACACAGCCAATGGGGTATAATACAGCCATCCCACCTACACACATAGCCAATGGGGTATAATACAGCCATCACACGCAAACACATAGCCAATGGGGTATAATACAGCCATCATAGCCAATGGGGTATAGTACAGCCATCCCACCCACACACATAGCCAATGGGGTATAATACAGTTATCACACGCACACACATAGCCAATGGGGTATATTACAGCCATCAT